AACAGGTGTCACCTTTATTGTCTTTGAAGCCACCATTGATGCCACCTTTGATGAGAGAGAGTTAAAGCCTCAACGCCTCATTCATGACTCTTCATATTCTTGCCGTTAGCTCAGCTCCCCAATGATGACTCTTCATGTTGTTACCGTTAGGACCTAGCATAAATAGAACTTCCCTCAGCTGAGCAGGGGAGGCATTGTACTTTCGATACTGAGACAAAAGCAATACAACTATCGTATTCTCTTATAGCATTGTTATATTATTATTTACCGGTAACGTTATTACCGTCATATATATATATATATATATATATATATATATATATATATATATATATATATATATATATATATATATATATATATATAATATATTGTCAAAAACCATACATGAATTAAAATCTGTATTAAAATTACAATGGTACACACAGTACCGTGTAACCTAAATATAATCTATGCAATATTAAAACGCTAACATAGTTAATAACGTGTTGTGAATAATGTACATTTTGTATTAATTAAAACTGTTTCTGACATTCATGGTCCACAATCTTGCGTGGATCATGACAAACACAGTACTAAAAAATGCCACATAGTACGGTGCAAGAAATAATGCAATGTCAAAATGGTAACATATTTAAACACTATTAGAAGCTATGTATTATAAGAAATAATGCATTAATTAAAATCGTGAATACATTAACCATGGTCCACACAGTACCGTGTAACATAATTAAAAATAAAATTAAAAAATGGTAAATGCAACTAATGTACATTTCTTACAAAAATAATGTACCTTAAATACACAAATAATTAAAACAGTTAATATGAATTCATCAGCACCTATGTTTAAAATTACTTAATTATTGTTTAAGTATGGGCTGCCAACAACCCCAATCTCTATAATTAAACATTAATGTAATCTAGCCCAAGATCTTTTTATTTTAATGCAAAGCCCAACCTACAAATATATAGCATAGCCCATACCCGGCCCACTCATCAAACTCTTCACTATACGGATGTCATCCTCACCCCTTGCATCTTGCCACCCAACTATCAGTTAGCATTCTCTCTAACACTATCCTAATCTCTTCTCTAACACTATCCATATCCGAAGTCAGACTTCCTAATCTCACAACACACTCTTGAGCTTTGTACAAATTTAGCCAAGCTTAGAATATGTCTATAAGGTCTTCATGACCTTTAACATCCGATGAGGCTGGATTTTCAAAACCCTAGCTTCGTTTGAATTTATAATAGCCGATCTTCGTTTTCAGTCGAAGATCGTGGATTTGAGTGCCCGATCTTCGTTTGTTAATCGAAGATCTTTCTTTTTAGTGGCTGATTTCATTTTTACTCGAACATCTCGATTTTGAGTGCCCGATCTTCGTTTGTTACTCGAAGGTCTTCGTTTTTACTCATCTATCTTGGTTTTTAGTGGCCGATCTTCTAATTGAGTCGAAGATTTGGGTTTTGATTAGTCGATCTCCGTTTTTTCTGGTAATTTGAAGGCTCGAAGGTTGAGTGATGATCTAGATAATTATTACTACCCTATTTCAAGCCAGTGGCTCTCAGATAAGTTTACTACCCATTTTAATCTATTACTATGTCCTATTGTATACTATATATTCTTGAATCTGATTCTCTTTTTTATTTAAACATTTTGCAGATCTGTATGCCTCCGTACAGTGTTCATCACCGTAGATAGACATTCAAGGCATGTTTCGCGCAATCTTCGCTAAGATAAGTGAAATACCAACAAATATTTCCCTAAATTCGTATCTTATCATAGTCTACAGATTCGTATTTTGATTTGGCTATTCAAATATTTTATTCCGAAGTTAGCAGTTAGGGTTTAAACTAAATTCCCTAATTTTAACTTTCAGGGGTTCAGTGTTCATATTTCTTTGTATAAGAGAAAGATGGGAAGCTCAGGATGCATTACTAAATTCCCTAATTTTAACTTTCAGGGGTTCAGTGTTCATATTTCTTTGTATAAGAGAAAGATGGGAAGCTCAGGATGCATCAATAATGGTAAATAGACTTCCGATTTGTAGTAGGAATAGCTATACATTTATGAAGCAGGAGAGGATGTGTGCAGTGAAGTAAAACCACAAAAAGGTAAACTGAAAATTAAAGTGTTTATAGTGTAGAATATACCTTGGTTGTTGATTATCTGCTTCCTTTTGCTCCCTATTAGTGTAGAAGAAACAATTTTCCTCATGTGGTATGTTGTTTTGAATGTTGCAATTATGATTTATGTTTGTAGTTGGAGTATGCATATTTGCTATATCTTGAATGCTTTATTGGGTGATAATCATTAATGTTTTGACATATACTAAAATGATTATGATTGTTCAGTTTTTTTTTTTTTTTTTTTTTTTTTTTTTTTTTTGGAAAACCACAATGCAGTATACTATTCCTGTAATTGAATACACATGTTCCCCCTTATATTTTTGCACTTCTTCATTTTACACATGTACTAACACTGTTTTAAAGTCTTTGGCAAATAATGAATCTTTAGGTCTGATGCCATTATTGTACACTACAGTTTAATACATGTTAGATGATGGCCTGCTAACTGTGATGGCAATTGTTACTCAATATAGGACTATCTATAAAGAGATAGTATATTTGATTACTTACTAAATGAGAAATACATATTTTTCAGATTTTAATATAGGACTATATACTTATACTCTGATGAATTCTATTATTTTGTTTAGAATTTGATTAGTTTGACCAAGTATATATTAAATCAGTTTGACCAAGTCTAGATTTAAATGAAAGTAATGTTGATTTAAAGGTCTATAATGTAGGACCATGTATAATGAGATATTATATTTGATTACTTTGAAGTTTAGTTTTTGAATGACATAATTTGTGTGTTTGATTGATTATCTGTGAAGTGTTACACTTTGACTATTGTTAGATGTTATTATTTTTTGGTAGTTTGCTAATGAAATTATTTTAAATGTGTGATTTTAAAAGTAAAATAGCATTGTGTATATAGTTTAAATATTGGCAAATGGCTATAATTAAATCAGTTTAAACCATTGTGTTCGTTCTTGAGTCTTTGACAAATGATGAATCTTTGTTTCTAATGCACATATTGAATGACTAAAATAGATTTTTGATACATGGAATCTTTATTTGTTTTGACATTTTTTTTTTGCACAGAGATTGAATACATGTTACATGATGATCTGTGGCAGTGCTGCCAGATTCTTAGATATCACAGCTTCTTAGTGTTCACATTACAAATTAGTAGATTATATACTATGTAGTAGGGGATGAGTATTTACTCTTCAAAGTACACAATAGTTGTTAGTTTTGTAAATTGTAGTTGTTGAAATGTTTCTATTTTAGATGTGTTGACATAAAAAACAGTCCTCTATTGTGTACTTTTTACAGAAATTGACATGATGATATAGTTTGTCAATTTGAAAATACCAGTGTGATCTTGTAATGTGCTAAAAAGCAGTGTGAGTTTTTACCTGTAATTTGAAGGCTCTAACGTGTATCATATCTTTTCTACAATTTTTAAAAGTTTCTTGAATACATTGATTTTTAAAAAAAAAAAAAATTGAAGTAATGTATTATATTTAGTAAGGTTTTAAATTTAGTTACGACAATCATAATTAGATTGGATTTTCAGCAAGCTATATTATTATTTTTTTTTAATTGACCAAGCCAATTTTAATTTTTAAGTAATGTTCATTTAAAAGTCTAGAATATAGGACTATCTACTTATACTGTGATCAATCAAATATTTTGGATACAATTTTGTCCTTAAAGTATAATGTAATTTTAACTTTACCAAAGCTATATCTAAATTAAAGTAAGGTTCTTTTAGGTTAGTTGTCATAAAGAATAGTTCTCTATTGTGTACTTTTTACAGATATGTACTAAAAAGCAGTGTGATTTTGTAATTCTATAAAGAGAAGTATTACTCAGCTATGTTTCATACGAATGTGTATCATCAATCATTGTTTAAACTAAATTTTGAGCAATCTAAAACTGTTTTTTTTCTTTAATTTGTTTTGATTGCTGTTTTTGGGGTTTAATTGAGTTAGTGCTAAAATTGACTATCTACTTTTTAATTGACGAAGTCAAATTTAATTTTTAACTACTGTTCATTTAAAAGTATAGAATATAGGACTATATACTTATAATCTGGTCAATATATTATTTTGGTTAGAATTTTATCCTTAAAGTTTAATTACATTTTAACTTAACCAAGTCTATATCTAAATGAAAGTAATGTTGATTTAAAGGTCTAGAATGTAGGACTATTTATTATAATTAAATTTTAACTTTAAAGTTGAATTGCATTTGAACTTGACCAATTATATATCTAAATTAAAATAATGTTGATTTAAAGGTCTAGAATGTAGGACTATCTATAAAGTGAATGTATATTTGATTACTTTCAATTTTAGTGTTTTAATTTACATCATTAGTGTGTTTGATTGATTATATGTTTTCTATACAGTGTAACTGTTTTACTATTGTTAGATGTTTGTCTTTTTTGTTAGTTTGCTAATGATGATTTTTAAACTGTGTGAGTTTGAAAATAATATAGCAGTATGTATATAGTGCAAATACTAAGTTTTATTACAGTAGATATAGTATAATTAAAAATACAGACTTAGTACTTGACTACAAATTTAGCAGATGGGTATAATTAAATCAGTTTAAACCCTCTTCTAGTACACTGTTTGACTGTGCTTGCTTCCTTAACTGATTGTGATTGTGTTTGCTTCCTTGTGTTTGGTTCCTTCTTAGATTGATTGCTTGCTCCCTTCATTCTTGTCCTGCATACAGTTTCATATATCTAACAATATAAACTAATAAACACAGTGTATAAAAAGAAAGCATAGGTAAACAACAAAGGCAAAGAGTCTATTTTAGATTGAAACATAATGAAATTGTTCAGCACAAACAAAGAGAAATTGAGCAGGGCAAAATATAAAAACCACAGAAATGTAGTATCTAAGATCTTAAAGTTTTTCCTGTTTAACAACAACATTTTTTCCCTTCTTCCTAGAGGAGGAGAATTGATCCAGAAGCGATCTCTTTACACCATTAGGATCTTCAGGTTCAATGTCTAGACTTTGAGACTGCTGTATACTTAATGGACTGTTGACCTCATTGTCTCCATTAGAAGCCTCCTGTATATTAAAAGTTGGTTTAGTCCAAAACATGTCAAACATAGACTTAAAAATGTAAATATTTATTTTACTTTATTAAAAATAACAACCTGATCAGATTCCTCATCTTCATCCTCGTCCTCATCTATCATTTTTGTCATCAAGTCCTTCTCTTGGTCTTCAATAAGTTTAGAACAGTATGCTGACACTAAGACTTCATCCCTTAGAACTCTCACCACAGTGTAGGCTGAAGTAGCTCCCTTCATGAACTCCATTTTTAATGATATCTTAAATATCATTCTCAGACCAACTAAGGATTCCAATTCTCTTGGAATGTCAGAAACCTAAAATAAAGAAAATAGCATACTTAAAAAAAAAAAAAAAAAAAAAAAAAGACAAACACAGTTCATATGAAGTGTTAAATTTCACAGTACTGTTACTTTACCTTATTATACTTCGTGTACAAACTGTGTGCTGGGATACCAACTAATTCAGAACACTCCCTATCCCATAAAAGGAAGGGAACATCTCGTAGACCTTTATCTAGAACAATAACTTTGACCCGATACCTTGCCATGCCCTCTTGATACTTCTTATCACAGTGTGTACAAATCAGATCACCTAATTGTCCAGAAAGCTTTCTGTTACATCCTGGTGACATGCATGAGATGTACATCCATCCAAAAGAGCCTTCAATGGCCACAATTTAAGGATTTATAACAGTTTAGAGTCTAACCTGCTTCTTTTTCAACAGATCAGCTACTGGAGTGACAGTCAAAGCACCACTGGTGAAGTCATCAATGCCTGTGGATTGAGACAACACAGTTGCAGTGCTGATACTGCGTAAAGGGCTATTTGTTGCAGTTAACCTACAGGTAACATTTATGAATAAGTTGTATAAATTACAGATACAGTAGTTTAGAAAATGTAGACAGTAGATAAGAAATATATTTCAGGTACTTACTGAGACTTAAAATCAGCAACTTCCTAATAAGATGCATTCAAATGAAGTTGGGTAGCATCATAGCAGCTAGTAATTCTGATTTCACCTATTAGCAACATAGATGTTAATGAACAATGGAAAACCTAGAAAAAAAAATTAAAAGAATAATCTATCATTATAACTTACCATTGACCACTTTTGCCCGACAAAGCTGAAGAACCAAAATTAGTGGTTCTTTAAGACCAGAATCATAGTATGGTAGCATGGAACAAACATGACTGTCCCACACAGTGCACTGTAAGGTATTTCCCCTATAGGCAAGTGTGTTAGAAAGAATATAATGATTACAAATTTAGGAACATAGTTGTTAGTATGAAACTTACTCATTATCAGCCATTTTAAAATCTAGAAGTTTGGCTAGTCTGCCTCCTATTATTTTGTCAACAGGAGTATGGATCTCAACAACTCTGCCTATTAAATCTGTATCAACACAAAATAATTGAATAGTAGACCAAATAAAAAAATAGATAACAGAAAAATAGCAAAAACATGAACTAAATACTTACCAAACAACACCTTGTCATTGACTGGAGTAGGGTCTTTCAAAGAGTCATAGGTTTTTAGCTGAAACATCTTATTTGGAAAACCTTTCGATTTGATTGCTTTTACCTGAGTCTTATAGTTTAGCCTAATCATATATTGGTGATCACAAGTTTTGTAAGTATAATAGTGGGTGAACACCAAAAAGTTTTTTACTGAATAGAGCTTCCCTTCTATGAAAACATTTTTGTATTTTTTGACATCACTATTTTGCATGTTCAAATGTATGAAAGTTCCCTGCACATAGGATTAGTGAAATAAATAAAACATGTATAGAGCATAAATCTGTGTAAAGCCAAGCTTAAACAGTAAACTAAAATATTAAACATGTAACTAAAATACCTCTTTATCACAGACCAACACTTCTCGACTCTTGATCTCTGTAGACCCTCTGTTTTCAGCTATTTCGTAGCATCTAACACACTTGACTCTTATTGCTTTCTCCCTATCAAGCGGGCCAATGTCTTTTACAGCAACATACATTGGCATGGTTTAGTTGCTGATATTTTGGGTCTCCTCTTTTTTTTTTTCTTTTTTTTTTTTCTTTTTTTTTTTTTTCTAAATGGCAGGTGATACGAACTGCAGATATCCTGAAGTTGGGAGGGGATTTCTCCATCGACACAGGTTTATATAGAATGTAAAAGTATGGATTTCAAAATCTGGGAAGTATGAATGGTGCTGTCGACCTTTCAGTTTTCATGTGCATGTTGAGCAGGCATTTAAATCTCTTTGAGAAATCGGTTTTTGAAGCAGTGTTTATAATGAACACTGTGTTTAGAAGTATATAATAATTAGAAGTCTATTTAATTTGATTTATTTTATTTGGTATTGACAAAAAGTAGCTGGCACAAATTAATTCCACGCGCTAAGCTTTGTTTAACACCATTTATTTAAAGATATTTTTTTGTGACCATATAACGACGGCGTTTTAATTGGGTGGGATTTTGGCATAGGCAGAAACTTAGTGCTTTATTATAATGATAGATGTTTAGCTTTGTTTTTTGAAAAGTTAGGCAGTCTATGTTTAGCTAAAAGCCTTTCCAAAAAAAAAAAAAAAAGTGTTTAGTCTATTTTGGGTATAAAAGGGGCGTGAAGAAGCTGTATGAATTACACAGTGGAGAAGCTCTAATTTGGAGAAAGATCACTCCCCCTATTTTAATTATTATTCATTACTATGTTGATTGAAATTGTGCACAAGTTGACAGCACTACTTTGTGAGAATTAACTTTATATTTATTTGCTTTCTATATCTTGGAGTGGTGGTAATTTATATGTGGGTTTACCAAGAAGTTTGTTTTGGCGTAATGGAAGGTTAGTGATACAGAATGGCATGCACGCACCTCTCCAGCAACGAATGTTTTGAAGATAAAGTATTTGATGTAGCTGATGCTTATTGTATTTAAACCCCTGTAAACTTGGTGAACATTAGTGGATTGGGCTGACGTGAGTTGCCCCATAATCCGGCGATCTAGCAGACAGCAGGCGATCCAAATCCACTGCCAAAACCAGAATCAATCTTTCCAGATCCCATTGACTGTAAGGGCATAAAACCTCCTTTCTCACCTCCTCTGTTCTTCTCAATCTTGCTTTTGTCGATGTCACTAGCTTTTGCGCTTCATGACATCTTTAGTTTCATTAATTTTGCTTTGCATTGAGTGTTTCTTCATTGAGGTCCGATTTCTGATTCAGCATAATTGACTGCTCAAAACATTATATTGTAAGATTTGGTTGTATAATAATTTCCTTTTTTTTTTTGAAAGCGCCTTTTAAAAGAAGAATCTAGTTGTTAAATTATCAAACCATTATCGGCATTGTATAATTCAAATGGTAAGGTGGCCGGAGCATTAAGACATTTGGGTCCTAAAATCGGTGAATTGATTAATCTAGAAAATTTGAGTTTCATTAATTATAAAGAAAACTCCAGTTTTAAGTCATAAACAAATCTCATAATTATAAATGAATTCAAGCCGTAGATTCAAACAGAGAACAAACGGGAGAATGGTTGCCGACGGCATCAGCGGAAAAAATAATATTTTAAGTTATTATTTTAAAAATTTGAGGGTAAATTTGTCTTTTCAATTAATTTTTGTCGGAAATTTAGTCAGATGAACCAAAATTGATAAAAATTGCGTAGGTACTAAATTGATAGTTTTAAAAATCATTGATTGAAATTAACAAGAGTACAAGACTCTAATAGTCATAAGATCAAAAGTGAAATTTGCTTCTTGTCTAAATTCAAGGGTTCATCTCTAAAGTATAATTTATAATCCACATAATTAAAACTATAGATTGGATAACTGAATAGCTAATATAACTGAATATGCATAGAAACTTATAAAATCATATTATCCACATATATTGCACAAAATAGAAATTTAATATATGGGCATATTCAATAAAATTCAAATAATAAATTGGGTAGCAATGTTAAAGCAATATATTTTTCAATTCTTGAAACAAAATTGCTGGCCCAAAACAATTTATACATGGGCAAATTATGTTGTGCATCCGTATGCACCATACATGGTGCATACGGATGCAAAAACGACGTCGTTTTATTAAAAACGCGCGTCTCCCCTTAAAAAAAAAAATTCAGGTTCGATTCCCAGCAACAACATATGAACTAAAATTCCAGAATTGATAAACTATAATTCCAGAATCTATGAACTATAATTCCAAAATCTAATCTATGAACTAAAAATTCCAGAATGAATGAACTAAAATTCCATAATCTATGAACTAAAATTTCAGAATCGATGAACTACAATTCTAGAATCGATGAACTATAATTCCATAATTAATGAACTATAATTCCATAATCTATTAACTAAAATTCCAGAATGAATGAGCAATATAATGTTGTTGCTGGGAATCGAACCTGAATTTTTTTTAAAGGGGAGACGCGCGCTTTTTAATAAAACGACGTCGTTTGGGTATCCGTATGCACCATGCATGGTGCATACGGATGCACAACATAACTATCCTTATACATGTATATATATCATAAAATCTAATCTAATCTAATCTAACTCTATGATAAAGCAACAACTTCTTGGAATACATTTTCCCGCTCACTAAATACTACGTCGTTTTTGCGTTTAGGGCTGATTGGCGATAATAAATGTTGTTCACACTAGGTTGTATCTACTGATAATGTTTACAATTAATATTTTCAGTCGTTGGTATTGCCTATGCATATATAAGTCGGCCAATTAAACGCGTTTGCAACTTCCGATTAATAAACATTCCTGAAACAAAATAAATAAAATAATTCTAGAAAACCGAAACGTTGCATGCTTGAATTACAAATATTAAGTGATTAAAATCTAATAGAAGACATCTGTTATGAACGGTAATATTGTTTCAAAAACGTAATCATTCTGACTTATTACAAATATTAAGTGATTGAAATCTAATAGAAGACATCTTTTATGAACAGTAATATTGTTTCAAAAACGTAATCATTCTGACTTATTGTTCCAAAGCTTGCATTTTCGTTGTTCTATATAAACACCTGATTTAGTCCAACCTCTATATAAAGAGGTTTAGAGGTCGAATCAGGTAGTCTTCAATCTCAGATTTTTCAAATCACTAAACCTCTATAGAACTCAAGCTTTGTAGAAAGAAAAATGTCGGCTCAATATGTTTCTATAAAGGAAATCAGTCCATTGCACACGAAAAGAGAAATAATGATTAGATTAGTTAGAACATAAGCAACGAAGAATTAGAGAAGGCGAAATGAGTAAGAGTAAATTATTTCATGGCGCGGAGGTAAATTGAGTCTTATTCTTTTTCTATCCACTATAGCTGTTTTCTTTAATGTAATACCCTATTCATATATTTGTAGGGATCATATATCCATGTTAATATATCAAAGGACGATGTTGAAAAATATCAGGCTATTTTTTAAGAAGAAAATATTTACTCTGTAAAGAATTTCCTGGTGGTCACCAACTATTCCTGGTGTAATAGGAATTGGCAGGAGGCTATTTGGAGGTATAGATTAAATTCTCAGCAACCTAGATCTCGAAGAAGAACAAAGATGTTGATGTTGAATTGTAAAAAATCACATATGATGTGAAATTGACATTTTGTGTGGTTGGGTCTCAGGATAGGTATGTCCTTGTAGCATTTTATATGTGTTTTACATGTTTGACAATTATGACTTTATAAAATGGTTGACTTACCTTCTTGCAGCTTAACTGCTTATATTCTTTATTCTTTTTACTTAAGTAATTAGGATTATGAATTACCAGAATCTGGTGGTTCAACATTGCCTAGAACTCCTATCTGCCTCGGACAAGGATTTGACAACAGAATTGTATTTAAGTGATGGAGATGATGACTTTGATGAGGTTAAAATTTGGCATCTCACTATTTTTTGAAAGATCAATTCTTTAATGAATTGAAAAAACTGATTTATATTTGTACCAATCTCAAGGTTCTTCTTTAATGAAAAAACTGATTTATATTTGTACCAATACTGAAGGACCTGTCAAGAGGTGCTTGCTGGATGAATTTTCTTCCCCAAGCTTTCAAGAAAGTGATAGAGAATGGAGCTAGTGAAAATTGAGAAACTTGATTAGTGTTTTGTTTGGTTCTTTGGTTTTAGAGAAGGCGAAATGGCATTTTAAATGTTTTGTTTTGAGGAGTTTTTTGGAGAACAAGTGTGCTTGGTGGCACAAGCACAGTTCATAGCTCACATATGCACTGTGAGCTGAAAAACAAATGTGGCTAGGCATTTCTTTGGATAATTTGTCTTTTATCTACTTTTAAAGTTTTAAATGTTTTAGGGAAAATGACACTTTTTCCCCCTGAGTTATATATCTATAGCATTTTTTCTTCCTGAATTATAGAAGTGGCTATTTTTCCCCCTGAAATGTTAAATGGACATATTTACCCTTAAAATAAATAATTCATTTATTTTTTTTTCTCCAACAAATTATGACCATAATTTGGTTCAAACCAAACAAACATTATAGCAACCAAACCGAAATATTCCAATTACAATTTTGAATCGAAACCCGATATTTAGAGTTTATTAAAATCATGAACCGGAACGGACTGTTCATGTTCCAAACTGACAAAAATAAAATACATTTATTGTTGAATTTAGACTATTTTAAAATAAAAACTAAAATTTTAAAATAAAGACAATTCAAAATCGCGAATCGGATCTGGAACCGTCGATTTACGGTTCAAGATTCAAATTTTTTATACATAATTTTAATAAATTGACATCTAAATATTGGGTTTTAGATCTGAATCATAACCGGATACTTTTAATTCGATTGCTTTAGTGTCCGGTTCAGTTCAAACCGAACCGTTGTCATCCCTACGTATACGCAATACTTTGTTGGAGAAGTAAAATAAATAAAATGTTTACTTTAAGGATAGAAATGTCAATTTAATATATCAGGGAGAAAAAACACCACTTTTAGAATAATTGAGGGGGCTAATGTGCTTACCTAAATAATTGAGGGGGGAAA